ATACTGCATGTTGAAATGCATTTTTTATTACAAAATATATGAAAAATATTTTTAAAAATACATTTCAAATATACTGTATTTTTTAAAAATTATATATTTTTTAAAATATATTTTAAAATATATTTTTCAGATTTTTTTTAACATATAAAAAAGTCATTTTATTATATTATTTTTACATATATTTGTTAATGTATTCCAAAAAGTTAGATTTGTATTTTTAAAGACATACAGTATATTTGAAATGTATTTTTACAAATATTTTTCATATATTTTTGTAATAAACGCATTTCAACATGCAGTGTGTATATATATTTATATATATGTGTATGTATATTTTAAATATATTTTTCTGATTTTTTTTTAACATATAAAAAAGTCATTTTAACATATTTTTACATATATTTGTAAATGAATTCCAAAAAGGTAGATTTGTATTTTTAAAGATATACAGTATATTTGAAATGTATTTTTACAAGTATTTTTCATATATTTTGTAATAAAAACGCATTTCAACATGCAGTGTATATGTAAATATTGAAAAATATATTGAATATGGCCAAAATTGTAGCATTTCAAAGATATGGCAATATATTTGGGAAGAATATTTTTAAAAATATATTTAAAATATATTTTTTTTCCATGTGGGTTTACACTGACCTGCGATTAGGACATGACCATCAGGCTGCAGAAGCCCTCACCGAATTTCCATTACAAGTTGTCCGCAATGCCACCTGGACTGACCACGCCCCTTCCAGGCCCCATTGCCCGTGTTCACTTTCACTTGCCGCAATGTATTATGTACTTTGTATTACAATAAAATGAAATTGCATGTTCCACAGTTACATTGTGTCTTCCTTGTTACAGATCACTTATCTCAGGGGGTGTCAGACTCAATTTCATGGTGGGCTTCATCAGCATTATGGTGGCCCTCAAAGGGCCGGTTGTATCTGTAAGACTAGATGTCCAGAGCACTTTGCCCCTTATATGCTGAGAGTGCTGCGGCTGCACAGAGAGGCATAGGATCTGTAGGAGGAGTTCTGTCCTCTCTGCTGCCAACTGTGGAGACAAGGTGGGGATGGAGACGAGGGGATGCTGCGGCTGCACAGAGAGGTGTAGGATGAGTTCTGTCCTCCTCTCTGCTGCCAACTGCAGAGACAAGGTGCAGGTGGAGATGAGGGGGTGCTGAGGCTGCACAGAGAGGCATAGGATGTGCAGGAGTTTTGTCCTCCTCTGATGCCGACTGTGGAGACAAGGTGAGGGTGAAGATGAGGGGGTGCTGCGGCTACACAGAGAGGTATAGTATCTGTAGAAGTTTTGTCCTCTCTGCTGCCAACTGTGGAGACAAGGTGGGGCTGGAGACGAGGGGGTGCTGCAGCTGCACAGAGAAGTGTAGGATGAGTTATGTCCTCCTCTCTGCTGCCAGCTGCTGAGACAAGGTGGGGGTGGAGACGAGGGGGTGCTGCAGCTGCACAGAGAAGCATAGGATCTGTAGAAGTTCTGTCCTCTCTGCTGCCAACTGCTGAGACAAGGTGGGGGTGGAGACGAGGGGGTGCTGCAGCTGCACAGAGAAGCATAGGATCTGTAGAAGTTCTGTCCTCTCTGCTGCCAACTGCTGAGACAAGGTGGGGGTGGAGACGAGGGGGTGCTGCATCTGCATAGAGAGGCATAGGATCTGTAGAAGTTCTGTCCTCTCTGCAGCCAACTGTGGAGACAAGATGGAGGTGAATATGAGGGGGTGCTGCGGCTGCATAGAGAGGCATAGGATGCGTAGGAGTTCTGTCCTCCAACTATGGAGACAAGGTGGGGGTGGAAACAAGGGGGTGCTGTGGCTGCCCAGAGAGGTATAGTATCTGCAGGAGGAGATCTGTCCTCTCTGTTGCTGACTGCGTAGACAAATTGGGGGTGGAGATGAGGGAGTGCTGCGGCTGCACAGAGAGGTGTAGGATCTGTAGGAGGAGTTCTGCCCTCTCTGTTGCTGATTGCGTAGACCAAGTAGGGGTGGAGATGAGGGTGTGCAGCAGCTGCACAGAGAGTCATAGGATCTGTAGGAGTTCAGTCCTCTCTAGTGCCGACTGCTGAGACAAGGTGGGGGTGGAGATGAGGGGGTGCTGCGGCTGCACAGAGAAGTGTGGGATTTCTAGGAAAAGCTCTGTCCTCTCTGATGCTGAGATAGAGGGGCAGAGACAAGCCTCTCCATGATTGGACAAAGAAGCAATGGATATGTAGGAGGAGTTCTGTCCTCCAATCTGCTGCCAGTTGCTGAGACACAGTCAGGGATGAGGGGGGTGCTGCAGGAGAGGTGGGAGGGCCCATGAAATGGCCTGGTGGTCCAGTATCGGCCCACAAGCCTTGTGTTTGACACGCGTGATGTATGTTTCTTGTCTCAGTTATTGGTTTGTATTCTCCAAGGGCAACTCCACCTGAAACTTGTCTTTTAGATTTGGATGTACCAGAGGAGCTTACGCTCTAATGTCCCCTCCCCCACAGTCCCATCAGTCTCTGCACCAGAGGAGCTTACGCTCTAATGTCCCCCTCCCCCACAGTCCCATCAGTCTCTGCACCAGAGGAGCTTACGCTCTAATGTCCCCTCCCCCACAGTCGCATCAGTCTCTGCACCAGAGGAGCTTACGCTCTAATGTCCCCTCCCCCACAGTCCCATCAGTCTCTGCACCAGAGGAGCTTACACTCTAATGTCCCTGTTATGGTGTGGGGGAGGGGAGGGGATGGTATCAGCTCTCTCCGTCCCTTGGCTCTCGGCACTGTCTGCAGTACTCGGTGTGTCCTCCAGGTGGCAGTATTGCGCTCAGCTCTGGGCGGAGATATGAAGGGCGGAACTGATCTTCTGAGTATTCCGCATTCCGGGGACAGTATTGGGCGGTGCACGGACGGACGGAAGTGGGGCGGAAGCTGAGAGGAGTCAGGTGACAGAGGACTGGATGATGGCGGCGCTCCGGGGGGCTGGGTTACTGGTTTGCTCTGCGGTCCTCTTCCTGCTGCTGGTGTCAGTCCGGTCCGAGGATAAAGATGAGAAGGAGGGAAAGGTGAGACATATCCATCCACCTACCTCACCTCAGACCCCTCCCCCACTCCAGAATTCCCTCCCCATCTCAGGGTCCTCTTCCTATATACTCTGAGACCCCTCCCTCATCTCAGTCCCCTCCCTGGATACACTGAGACCCCTCCCTCATCTCAAAGTCCCCTCCCTGGATATACTGAGACCCCTCCCCATCTCAGAGTCTCCTCCCTGGATACACTGAGACCCCTCCCCCATCTCAGAGTCCCCTCCCTGGATACACTGAGACCCCTCCCCCAGCTCAGAGTCCCCTCCCTGGTTACACTGAGACCCCTCCCCCAGCTCAGAGTCTCCTCCCTGGATACACTGAGACCCCTCCCCCAGCTCAGAGTCCCTCCCTGGATACACTGAGACCCCTCCCCCAGCTCAGAGTCTCCTCCCTGGATACACTGAGACCCCTCCCCCAGCTCAGAGTCTCCTCCCTGGATACACTGAGACCCCTCCCCCAGCTCAGAGTCTCCTCCCTGGATACACTGAGACCCCTCCCCCAGCTCAGAGTCTCCTCCCTGGCTACACTGAGACCCCTCCCCCAGCTCAGAGTCTCCTCCCTGGCTACACTGAGACCCCTCCCCCAGCTCAGAGTCTCCTCCCTGGCTACACTGAGACCCCTCCCCCAGCTCAGAGTCTCCTCCCTGGCTACACTGAGACCCCTCCCCCAGCTCAGAGTCTCCTCCCTGGATACACTGAGACCCCTCCCCCAGCTCAGAGTCTCCTCCCTGGATACACTGAGACCCCTCCCCCAGCTCAGAGTCTCCTCCCTGGATACACTGAGACCCCTCCCCCATCTCAGAGTCTCCTCCCTGGATACACTGAGACCCCTCCCCCATCTCAGAGTCTCCTCCCTGATACACTGAGACCCCTCCCCCATCTCAGAGTTTCCTCCATAGATACTGAGACCCCTCCCCCATCTCAGAGTTTCCTCCATAGATCCTGAGACCCCTCCCTCATTTCATTGTCCCCTCCATAGATCCTGAGACCCTCCCTCATTTCATTGTCCCCTCCATAGATACTGAGACTCCTCCCTCATTTCATTGTCCCCTCCCTAGATACACTGAGACCCCTCCCTCATTTCATTGTCCCCTCCCTAGATACACTGAGACCCCTCCCCCTTCTCATTGTCCCCTCTCTATATACACTGAGACCCCTCCCCCATCTCATTGTCCCCTCCCTATATACACGGAGACCCCTCCCCCTTCTCATTGTCCCCTCTCTATATACACTGAGACCCCTCCCCTTCTCATTATACACTGAGACCCCTCCCCCTTCTCAGTGTCGCCTCCCTCTATACACTGAGACCCCTCCCTCATATTACAGTCTCCTCCCTATATACACTGAGAGCCGTCCCCCATGTTAGAGCCCCCTCCCCCATCTCTGTATACACTGGGCCTCCTTCCCCCATCCCTGAACTCTAATCAATAAGCCAATCATTGATCGGTGTACATTGGACCTCATCAATAAATCCCGGACATCTCACAATGTACAGTAACAGCATCATTACATTCACTCCTCCTATCATCAGGATCCGTCTGGGAGCGCCTGGCGGGGACTTCGCCTTGTCACTGACAGGTTCACTTTAACCCCTTCACACCTGAGGGGACTCAAATCTAAATGCACAATTCTGCAACGCTGACCTGTGTCAGTGAAACCGTCCGTATCGTCACAGCGACTTCATACATCCGGGGGATTGTACCGCGGTTTTTTTCAGGACAAATTGGGCTTTCATTTGGTGCTAAATGGTAATGATATCTCCTGATTTTTTTTTTTTTTTTTTTTTTTCTATCAAAGGAAAACTGGCCCAAAAAAGTAAAAAAAAAAAAAATCTTTTTTTATTTTATTTAGCTGTGTTTCTTGTTACAACCATCACCGACCACCAAAGAACGACCCAAAATAAATTCTCCAGCTCTTGGCGATCGCAGCGATACCACATATGTGTACGCAAATATGCCGCCCCCCACGGGAAAAAGCCCAGCTCCGCGAGGCCGCAGATTTGTGTGACGTCGGCGTGAAGGGGTTAATAGATGAATGTCGGATTATTTATATTGTAATAGTTTTTGTGCAAAATATAATCCTCTTCTCTATATCTCAGAAATCTGAGGATGTGCGCTGCAAATGTATCTGTCCTCCCTACAAAGACAAACCCGGGAAAATCTACAACACCAACATGACGCAGAAAGACTGGTGAGTGGGGGAGGATTGACGAGGAGTAGAGGGAGGGTTGGCGAGGAGTGGGGGAGTGGTGCAGGGTTGGCGAGGAGTAGAGGGAGGGTTGGCGAGGGTTGGGGGGAGTGGTGCAGGGTTGGCGAGGAGTGGGGGAGTGGTTTGGCGAGGAGTGGGGGAGTGGTGCAGGGTTGGCGAGGAGTAGGGAGTGGTGGAGGGTTGGGGAGGACTGGTGCAGGGTTGGCGAGGAGTAGAGGGAGTGGTGGAGGGTTGGCGAGGAGAGCTGGTGCAGGGTTGGCGAGGAGTAGGGGAGTGGTGGAGGGTTGGGGAGGAGTGGTGCAGGGTTGGCGAGGAGTGGGGGAGTGGTGCAGGGTTGGTGAGGAGTAGAGGGAGGGTGGCGAGGGTGGGGGAGTGGTGCAGGGTTGGCGAGGAGTGGGCAGGGTTGGCGAGGGGTGGGGGGGTGGGAGGGTTGGCGAGGGTAGGGGGGGTGGAGGGTTGGGGGGGACTGGTGCAGGGTTGGCGAGGAGTAGGGGAGTGGTGGAGGGTTGGCGAGGAGGAGTGGGCAGGGTTGGAAAGGAGTGGGGGAGTGGTGCAGGGTTGGCGAGGAGTGGTGCAGGGTTGGCGGAGTGGTGCAGGGTTGGCGAGGAGTGGGGAGTGGTGGAGGGTTGGGGGAGGGGGGGAGGGTTGGCGGAGGGGGGTGGGGGGAGTGGTGCAGGGTTGGCGAGGAGTAGGGGAGTGGTGCAGGGTTGGCGAGGTTAGAGAGGAGTGGTGGAGGGTTGGGAGGAGTGGGAGGGTTGGCGAGGAGTGGGGGAGTGGTGCAGGGTTGGCGAGGATAGAGGGAGTGGTGGAGGGTTGGGGAGGAGTGGTGCAGGGTTGGCGAGGAGTAGATGGAGGGGTGGCGAGGGTTGGGAGGGAGTGGTGCAGGGTTGGCAAGGAGTGATGGAGGGTTGGCGAGCAGTAGAGGGAGTGGTGGAGGGTTGGCGAGGAGTGGTGCAGGGTTGGCGAGGAGTAGAGGGAGTGGTGGAGGGTTGGCAAGGAGTGGGCAGGGTTGGCAAGCATGGAGGGTTGGCGAGCAGTAGAGGGAGTGGTGCAGGGTTGGCGAGGAGTGGTGCAGGGTTGGCGAGGAGTGGGGGAGGATTTGTAAGGAGTGGTGAATAGTGAAGGATCGGTTATCTGTAAGCAGTCCGGTGTCCACACACACACACACCCTTTATCCATCAGACTAGGGTGGAGGTGTCCTGTAGATCACTGGTGGACAAGGCAGGGCTGACAACACTGTGCTCAGGATATAGGACAGGAAATTGTGTTGGCACTTTGCTCACCCAGTATGTGCGGTTCTCTCCCCTCCAGTGATTGTCTCCATGTGGTCACCCCCATGCCGGTCCCCGGTGCCGACGTGGAAGCGTACTGCCTGCGCTGTGAGTGCAAATACGAAGAGCGGAGCTCCATCACCATCAAGGTTGGTGTCGGTGTCATGGTGACACAGCTGCAATGTTTCACCCCTTCATGTTCCACTGGGTTTTTTTCCTCATATGGCACAGTGCAGAGTTTGGGGTCCTTGTCCCTTATAGCAGCAGCAGGACAGATTTCTCCAGCAGAACGTCAATGAGAAGTGATGACAGGCAGGCGGCAGTGATCACCAGCTGGTAGTCCTGGAATCTGCTCCATACACAGAAGCTGAGAATAGGCAGAGCTGTGAGGTGTTCCCACTTTGCGTGTCACTCTGCGGTGGGTTATAAAGCAGGGGTCCCCAAACTATTCGGTCCTCCGCCTGCACCTGAACACCAGAGCCTCATGGCTCCCCGCCCCTTTGTATCCCTGTCTGAGTCTCCCCGCCCGTTGGGCGTCCCCTGTCTGAGTCTCCCCGCCCGTTGGGCGTCCCCTGTCTGAGTCTCCCCGCCCGTTGGGCGTCCCCTGTCTGAGTCTCCCCGCCCGTTGGGCGTCCCCTGTCTGAGTCTCCCCGCCCGTTGGGCGTCCCCTGTCTGAGTCTCCCCGCCCGTTGGGCGTCCCCTGTCTGAGTCTCCCCGCCCGTTGGGCGTCCCCTGTCTGAGTCTCCCCGCCCGTTGGGCGTCCCCTGTCTGAGTCTCCCCGCCCGTTGGGCGTCCCCTGTCTGAGTCTCCCCGCCCGTTGGGCGTCCCCTGTCTGAGTCTCCCCTGGTGTCTCCATTGGGCGTCCCCGTCTGAGTCTCCCCTGGTGTCTCCATTGGGCGTCCCCGTCAGTCTCCCCGCCCCTTTTGAGTCCCCTTTAGAGTCCCCCCTTGTTAAGGGCATGTGGCCTGGTATGGTTCTTTCCTGACCTGCCGGGCTGCTTGCTTGGATAAGGGTCTGGTATGGATTTTGGGGGGTGGCCCCCATGCCATTTAAAAAAAATTTTTGGTGGGGGGCTCCCCCCAAAATCCATACCAGACCCGAAGGGCTTGGTATGGATGAGATGGGAGACATTAAAAAAAAAAAAAAAAAATGTAATTGCCGACAATTCTTTTGACATTCAGTTTTCGGCGGGGAACCCCTCTGACCCCGGGAACCCCTCTGAGACCAGGAACCCCTCTGACCCCGGGAACCCCTCTGACCCCGGGAACCCCTCTGACCCCGGGAACCCCTCTGACCCCGGGAACCCCTCTGACCCCGGGAACCCCTCTGACATGAATGAATTACTACTAAAATACCGCGTGATGTCATCGTAGAACAGATTTTAGTATCGTTCCACATACTCAGATACGGAAAGATACCACTCGGTAAATTGTTCGAAGTCTCGCGGTCGAACATTCTGTAGGTTCGGATGTTCGACCTGCGAACCGAACGGGGGGGGGGGGTGTGTTCAGCCCATCACTAGTGATAACATGAGATATTCTGCCCCCTGCAGGTGACGATTATCATCTACCTGTCCATCCTGGGCCTCCTCCTCCTCTACATGGTGTACCTGACCCTGGTGGAGCCCATGCTGAAGAGGCGTCTGTTCGGCCATTCTCAGCTCATACAGAACGATGACGACGTCGGGGTAAGTAGTGGGGATTCCTACAGGAACACCTCATTTAAAACTGAACCTTCCATTCAGGGACATGGGGATTCTGAAACAGGCGGGCTATGCTTCCACCTTCAGGAGGTCAGGACGCCGGCAAACAGAAGGTGTAGACCAGCCCCCATAGAACCCCTCCTTTACCCAGAATTCCTCAGTTTTTGCTAGTGTCCTGGGAGGGTGGAAGCCTTTCCCTCAGGTCTGGTGATGAAGCCTTCCCTGCTTGGGGGAAACTTTCCATTGTCGTCGTCCCCCCCCCCCCCCCCCCCCTCCGTTCTTCTATGCAGGTAAGGGGTGCCAGTAGATAAAAACAAGCTGTGCAGCTTTGTGTAAGGTTGGATGATGACCTTGCTGAGTGTAGGACATTTAGGTTCCTCCCGGAGACAGCATCATCCTGCCCTGCCTTGTTGCTAGGATGTTGCTAAGACACTCGCAGCCATATCTGCTCACACCCACTATCAGAGGAGCGAGCTCTCATTGGATAATGCCCCTGTAATAGGTATAAGCCATTTAGGTATCTCGTGAAACGTAGCTGAAAAACTCCCAAAGATGGCATCAACCTCCCCTGCTTTGTTGCTAGGGTGTTGCTAAGACACTCCCTGCCATTACTGCCTACATTCACTATCACCGACCGAGCTCTCATTGGATAATGCCCTTGTTATAGATGTAGACTATTTATGTACCTCCTGAAGCCTAGCTAAAGAACTCCCAAAGATGGCATCAACATCCTCTGCTTTGTTGCTAGGACGTTGCTAAGACACTCTCAGCCATATCTGCTCACACCCACTATCAGAGGAGCGAGCTCTCATTGGATAATGCCCCTGTAATAGGTATAAGCCATTTAGGTATCTCGTGAAAACGTAGCTGAAAAACTCCCAAAAGATGGCATCAACCTCCCCTGCTTTGTTGCTAGGGTGTTGCTAAGACACTCCCTGCCATTACTGCCTACATTCACTATCACCGGAGCGAGCTCTCATTGGATAATGCCCTTGTTATAGATGTAGACTATTTATGTACCTCCTGAAGCCTAGCTAAAGAACTCCCAAAGATGGCATCAACATCCTCTGCTTTGTTGCTAGGACGTTGCTAAGACACTCTCGGCCATATCTGCTCACACCCACTATCAGAGGAGCGAGCTCTCATTGGATAATGCCCCTGTAATAGGTATAAGCCATTTAGGTATCTCGTGAAACGTAGCTGAAAAACTCCCAAAGATGGCATCAACCTCCCCTGCTTTGTTGCTAGGGTGTTGCTAAGACACTCCCTGCCATTACTGCCTACATTCACTATCACCGGAGCGAGCTCTCATTGGATAATGCCCTTGTTATAGATGTAGACTATTTATGTACCTCCTGAAGCCTAGCTAAAGAACTCCCAAAGATGGCATCAACATCCTCTGCTTTGTTGCTAGGACGTTGCTAAGACACTCGCAGCCATTTCTGCTCACACCCACTATCAGAGGAGCGAGCTCTCATTGGATAATGCCCTTGTTATAGGTGTAGACCATTTTTGTACCTCCTGAAGTCTGGCTAAAGTACTCCCAGACATGGCATCATTCTGCCCTGCCTTGTTGCTAGGACGTTGCTAAGACACTCCCAGCCATTTCTTCTCACACCCACTATCACCGGCGAGAGCTCTCATTGGATAATGCCCTTGTTATAGGTGTCGGCTATTTACGAAGACTAGCTGAAAAATTCCCAGAGATGGCATCATCCTGCCTTGTTGCTAGGACATTGCTAAGAGACTCCCAGCCACTACCGCTCACCCCCACCATCACATGAGCAAGCTTTCAAACTCTTGCACAGGCACGGTTCTCTATCCCCTCAGAACTACTGCCACAGGGGACAAAGAATGGGCAGGCGAGGGGTTGAATCGGCTGGGAGTGTCTTAGTAACCTCCTAGCAACAAGGCAGGATGGCATGATCCTGTCTCTGGGAGTTTTTCGGTAAGGCTTCGTGAGGTTCGTAAATGGCCGACACCCATAACAAGGGCATTATCCAGCTTTAGTGTAAGCCGCACAGTTTTTATTTTCTCTCTCAGCTGCACAGGCAGTTTTTTGGTAAAGGTGAACTATCCCTTTAACCACTTCCCAAGTCCAGCCAATGTATATAAATGGCCAATCCGGAGAAGTGCAGGGCGGGTGGCCGTTCATAAATGTCCTCCCTTCTTGTGCGCGCTCCCTGGGAGCACACAGCACCGCGATCCGGGGCGCCCACTGTGTCCTCCGGACACAGTGAAACACTGATCGTTGTACGGGACCTCTGTGTGAGATCCCGATCATGTGATCACTGATTGGCCAATCAGTGATCACATGAAGAGTAGTAAGCAAGATGTCACTTCCTGACATCATTGCTTACTACTTGTGAAATCTGTGAATGATCACAGAGATCACATGGTACAGGGCCATTCACAACAGCCTTGTACCATGTGACAAGCTGTGACCAATCACAGCTCTCACAGTATTTCTGAATGGCTGCAGGAAGCGTCCCGGCAGGAAGGGGGGGGGGAGCGTCCGGGCTGCAAGGGGGGTGAAAGCGTCCGGGCTGCAAGGGGGGTGAAAGCGTCCCAGTAGGAAGGGGGGTGAAAGCGTCCGGGCTGGAAGGGGGGTGAAAGCGTCCGGGCTGCAAGGGGGGTGAAAGCGTCCGGGCTGCAAGGGGGGTGAAAGCGTCCGGGCTGCAAGGGGGGTGAAAGCGTCCGGACTGGAAGTGGTTAAATCCCAGTGGGATGTGGCTGGTGTGGTCCTGCATACCTATTTTATTTGGTAGATGCCCTCTGTGGCTTGCACCCCCGGGGAGGAGGGGGGGGAGGGGTTCACATGCACGTGCTAGTAGGGATCTCTCCTATGAATGACCCCCATGATCTGCTGTCAGTATAAAATAGCCCCCCTCCCCCCTTACCCCACCCCACATCTGGTACAATGAGGTGTTTACAAAGCAGTCCCATGAGGACGCGATGATGGCGGCACTTCCTTGGCTCTGCGTTCAATCCATGTTGATAAAATTAAAATCCGGTAACCCGACCCGCTTTATCGGAAAGCCTCCCCCACCTGCCGCTTGTTGTGTAAACTCCGAGTGACAATGGGACGGGAGTGCCAACATGGAGGGCCCGCCGCGTCTCCTCATCTCAGCTCCCGGCTCCGTCCGGTGATACACATCGATCAGGAAATAAATTCTGATTGGTTAACCTGTCCACACATTACCATCTGTCACATTTTATTTATTTTTTTTCATATTGACCAATTTTCAGTTTAACTCCGTCCTGGCATCTCTTTAAAAAAAAACCCGTGTGATTGGCGGTCACGGCGGTCACATGATGGGAGCCGATCCTGCCAACTACTGATCATTATTGGGACCGAAAGCTGTGTTTTGTGCTGACACGAGCTCAATGTCAGCGCGGAAAACACCGCCTGCCGACGCATTACCGCTTCCAGATATACTGCTACGCTGCGGCACGGGCGCGCAAAATCATGTGTAATATATGTAATTTTGCAGTTCCGGGTAGGGGGTGCGTGTGAGCCGCGCACACGCCCTACCCGCCCATTCGCGGCTGCGGCTTTCAATCACCGGGTCCCAGCCTGTGATTACTCGCCGGCGCCAGTGATTACCAAGGATCTCCGACGGGGAGGGGACTGTTTTGTTCACTAACAGTCCTCCCTGTCGGCTCGGGTACATAGTGCCTGCTGGGGTAGAAAGGAGGCTGGCCTGATCCTGTCCTGTTAGATGAACTGTAAGGGGCCCCATGTGTTGGGCTGTAAGGGACCCCCGTGAGTTGGGCTGTAAGGGGCCCCCGTGAGTTGGGCTGTAAGGGGCCCCCGCGAGTTGGGCTGTAAGGGACCCCCGCGAGTTGGGCTGTAAGGGACCCCCGCGAGTTGGGCTGTAAGGGACCCCCGCGTGTTGGGGCTGTAAGGGACCCCCGCGTGTTGGGGCTGTGAGGGACCCCCGTGTGTTGGGGCTGTGAGGAGTCCCCGGGATTTGGGCTGTAAGGGACCCCCGTGAGTTGGGCTGTAAGGGACCCCCGCGAGTTGGGCTGTAAGGGACCCCCGCGAGTTGGGCTGTAAGGGACCCCCGCGAGTTGGGCTGTAAGGGACCCCCGCGAGTTGGGCTGTAAGGGACCCCCGTGTGGTTGGGGCTGTGAGGGACCCCCGTGAGTTGGGCTGTGGGGAGTCCCCGGGATTTGGGCTGTAAGGGACCCCCGTGAGTTGGGCTGTAAGGGACCCCCGTGAGTTGGGCTGTAAGGGACCCCCGTGAGTTGGGCTGTAAGGGACCCCCGCGAGTTGGGCTGTAAGGGGCCCCGTGATTTCTATTGATGGCTTTAGTGTAAGGTAGTCTGCATGGGGCCCCACAATACACATGTATGACAGGGCAGCTTTTTAAACGATGATAGCTGGTGGGTGGCAGTGCATGCTGAGACTTGTAGTTCCTTGGCGGCTGCGTGTGGCTCGTCGGTATCACATGGGTCAGGGATGCCACGCCCTTCCACCGATTATCACCCGTGTTAACCCCTTCATGGCTCTGCGCAGAAGCACGCTCTTCAGGAAAAATAAAAGCAGATTAAACCTAATATTAGCATAACTCCTCCCACGAGTCAGGAAGCTGTTACAGCATCTTGCTGGCCCCCATCTGCCTGCGTTGCATAGGTAAGCACAGAGACCCAGCAATGACATCACTATGGGACTAAAGGTAATAAAAACTGAAAGATTTTAATCTTTACAGCAGAGGTCCCCAACCCCCGGGCCGTGGACCGGTACCGCTCAGTGGCCTGCTGATGACTGGGCAGGAGGAGAGCGGCGACTGCGTTCTGGACCGCAGATCCGCGCAGAGAGCGGGAATCTTTCTAACAAGCAGCTGCCGCAAAACCGGTCCCTGGTACCAAAAAGGTTGGGGACCGCTGCTTTGCAGCACAAGATGCCATTGACCTCTCCTCATTTCCCTCCACTAACCACACTTGTCTTCTGCAGCAGGACCACCAGCCTTTCGCCAACGCCCACGACGTCCTCGCGCGATCCAGAAGCCGCGCCAACGTATTAAATAAAGTGGAATACGCCCAGCAGCGCTGGAAGCTGCAAGTGCAAGAACAGCGCAAGTCCGTGTTCGACCGCCACGTAGTCCTGAGCTAAGGTGGAGCGAGACGCCAGGCGGAGGAAGACGCCGCCGCAGTTCTGATCTTCCCGTCTTCCCGGTTACGTTTTTTTCCACCCCAGCGGCTGCACGTTGTGTACCTCCCACTCGGGGGCTCCTGTGGACATTCGATAGACTCCATCCTGCCAAAGCGCCTTGCGATGGCGTTGTAAATACGCGGAGTTCTCATAGAAAGGGTTAATATATTCTCCCCCTGTCGCGGATGTAATATTGTAATTAGCGCGCGTTTTTGATTCGTCCCTTCCATCTTCGTCAAAGGACTTGGGGTGCCACACTCCTGTCATTGGGTCCAAACGCCTCACGCTGGCTCCACCCCTGGCGCATCTTATGTTATCAATTTGTCTCCCGCGGATGAAACGAGGAAAGAATGTCGCAAACCGCGTTCTGCTACATTGTAAGACTGGAACAGACCAGATTCCGGGCTACGCCTTCCTGTAATGCATTGCTTTTGCACGAAACGCGTAGGTGCGAGTTTTTTTGGTTTTGCCTCCTGAGCCCCTTCCTCGTGACTGATATCTTCATTAATTAAATAGGGTGGGGGGCACTTTGTAGCTCACACTCCTGTCATTGGGTCTGCTTGGCTGCCCATGAGCTCTCCGGCCTCCTCCCGCCTCTCACAGGCTCCACCCCTGACGCATCTTATCATGTTACCAATTGGTCTCCCGCGGATGAAACGAGGAAAGAATGTCGCAAACCGCATTCTGCTACATTGTAAGACTGGAACAGATTCCTGGCTACACCTTCCTGTAATGTGTTGCTTTTGCACGAAACGCGTAGTTGCGAGTTGTTTTGCCTCCTGAGCGACATCTTCATTAATTAAAGGACTCGAGGGGGGGAGGGGCACTTTGTATTTCACACTCCTGTAATTGGGTCTGCCCATGGGCTCTCCTCCCGCAGGCTCCACCCCTGACGCATCTTATCATGTTACTAATTGGTCTCCCGCGGATGAAACGAGGAAAGAATGTCGCAAACTGCGTTCTGCTACATTGTAAGACTGGAACAGATTCCGGGCTGCACCTTCCTCTAATGCAATGCTTTTGAGTGAAACGCATAGCTGCGAGTTTTTCGGTTTTGCCTCCTGAGCCCCTTCTTCATGACTTGGGGGGGCACTTTATAGCTCATGCTCCTGTCATTGGGTCTGCTTGGCTGCCCATGGGCTCTCCGGTCACCTCCCTCAGGCTCCTCCCACCTCCTGCAGGCTCCTCCCATGATGCATCTTTTCATGTTACTAATTGATCTCCTGCGGATGAGCCGGAGGTTCCTGAAATAGGAAAGTTGCAGACAGGTTTCTGCTACAATAGAGGAGGGGAACAGATGCCGCGTTCTGCTTTCTGCGATGTGTTGCTTTTGTACGAAAAGCGTAGCTGAGATAATTTAAGCGATTTGGGGGGGGGGGGGGGGGTATGATCAGGGGGTTTATTTTACTTTCCTACCACCAAAGATTTAACCACTTACTGGCTGTCAACTTAAAAGGCTTTTTAGTAACTGAATCCTGCACTCTTATGTTCCCAGATGTCTTTGCAAACTACAGAACCCCTCCCCCTATGTTAGAATTCCAGCCTAAACCAAACTATATATAAAAATGCCCCCCCCCCCCCCTCCTTACCTGTGAAAAAAAAAAGATGCATAGACTTACCTATATGATTTCCCACCCATCCCCATGTCAGCCAGTGGTGGCTGCAGGGGAGAAGAGCGAGTGATCTTACAGTGGCTGGTAAAGCCTGGAGCGGTGATGTTACCCATGTGCCAACCATTGTCGGTGCTCTCTTCTCCCCTGCAGCCGCCACTGGCCGACCCGGGGGATCACGTGACCGGAGCGGCCTGAAAACAGGTAAGTATATACATCTTTCTCACACAGGTTGGGGGAGGGGCATTAAGACTAGTAAGGTTTAGCCGGAATACTACTTTAACATTGTTCCCATCTTTGTTTGCAAACTGCAGAACCCCTCCCCCCCCCATGTAAGGTAAAGGGGAAGGTGTTTTGTAGTCCTGTCATAAGGTGACAGTGGTACTTCAGTTCACAGCATTGTCACCTTAGGGCAGGAAGTGTGTTACTGGCAGGATCACCAGATGAAAATAAATAAAAGAAAACAAATGCAGCCGCCGCTTTTACTGAAACCTAAACCTCCCGCATATCCCCAGCCTGAAGGCCAGCAAGGGGTTAAATTTCGGGTTAAAGGACAAGTCCAAGCTTTAATGCTTTCCCATATTTGGCGCAGAACATGAAACGCGGTCCCACTGCCCCCCCCCCCCCCCAATAGTGATCTGAAGTGTGGCTGTAAATGGCTCCGCCCACACAGTGGCATCATCCAGCCCACAAATCTCCTCTTCACTTTGCAACTTGCCAACCGTTCCCTCCGTCTCCGGTCGTCGAAGCTCCTCCTCCTCCTGCGGGTCCATAGGTTCGGGGTGGGGAGGGACGCTGTAAGTGGAGTGTCCCTTTAAACCTCCCCTCCCCCCATGTAGCTCTAGCCCCATATGAGGCTCCGCCTGTTACAGGTTTCGGGAGCCCGGAGCAGTATCCCAGAGTTGAATGGGAAATGCCGGTTCGCTTGGCTGCGATGTTTTCAGGAGTAGGTAGGCACAGGCAAGCTGGTAGTTCTCCCAGAAGAGGTCTCCTTTAACACCAGATGCCAAATCGGTGTTGTCACCGATCGGCAATCGCTTCCTGATATGTATTGTAAGAGGGGAGGAGCCAACAGGTCCTCGCTGGGTGGAGCCAACAGGTCCTCGCTGAGCGAAGCTTTCCCAGGAGTCCCCAGAGCCAGGAACACGTAAAAACCTCAAGTGAGTGCTCCGCCCCCCAGTCCCCCCTGTGGCCTCCCACAATGCATTGCCTGCACCTTTCTACTGGCTGATGGGGGAGCATGCAGCTTCAATCCTCCCCCGACACACAGGTCCTCCTCCTCATTCCTTATAGATCAATGGTCTCCCTTCTGAAGATATACTGTGAATGAGTCTGTCTACCCAGAATTCCCTCCTCCGCACACGTCGTCATTGCACTGAATCATCGGAAATGTCATTTTACAGATTTTGTAATTTAATGATTAATAAACTCGAAAAAACTGTCACCCGGCGTCCTGTCATGTTTTCTGATCTATGAGACATTAGAGCGTAAGCTCCTCTGGTACAGAGACTGATGTGACTGGGGACTGGGGGGGGGGACATTAGTAAGTGTACATTTTTTAGAGTGTTTTTTTGTTTATTAAAATCTTGCAAACAAAAAACATCATAAACATATTTACATATATACAGTATAAAATATATATAATTAAACAAAACCAGCTTACTTCAGCAAAACAATAACAAATTCTGACCGTCACCTAAACACCCCCCTCAGGCTAAGAAACGATTAAATATTCATCCCATCTGATCCCATACACACTGATCCCATACATTCATCCCATACATCGATCCCATACATTGATCCCACACATTCATCCCACACACATCGATCCATACATGCGCCTTTCTTCAAAAATCTGATGTTACAAAATCTAGGGGACGTGAAAGGACAGAAAGAGAAGCCACGCCCCCAGAGACTGACAGACAGCAGCTACGGGGACCTGACATTCCTCCACGCCTTTGTCCAGGCTCCCGGCCGCCACCTGTCCTTCTCAAGACCCCAAATCTTCCCAACCTCACCCAGAATGTTGTTCACCACCACCTCGACAGGAAGGACTTTTTTGCGAATGGAAACCTGACACCGTGCATTCCACGTGTGGTAATGGACTACTAAGCTAACTAGAAAAAGTGTCTCAAAATCAAAGTCCCGGTGAGTCTGAAAGGCTCCATAAGACCACTCCGTGTAACTCAAGCGGGAAAGGAAAGGGATCCCCAGAGCCCCACCCACCCGCTTGTAGACTTCTATATTGAAGGCACTGAAGCAAGAAATGGTCCATCGTCTCCTCCACCCCACCGCACTCCACTGTTGGACAACCACGGTTCTCCGCAGAGCGATGCTTCAGGTTGCCCTTCACATAGAGTCTGCCATGGAACGAGAGCCAGGCCAAATCCCGAAACTTTAAAGGGATTCTCTCCAGATTCATCAAACGCAGACCCTCCCTCATAACCGGGCCTGGGCAATCCCTCAAGGCCAATGGCTCGCTAAAGGCAGATTCAACAACCCTCCTCTCCAGGGCCTTCCTAGGAAGAGACTTAAATTTCCTCCACCGTCACTCGCCATTGCCGAAGCATTTTCAGACATGGGGCAACATAAGCCGGGAGCTTACCATGTTGGACCCTCAGGCTTTTCACTGGCCCACCATTCTCCCAGCTCCGTAGAAAAGGCCTAAACCAGGACTGAAAAATACCAACCCACCCAGGCGGTTCCTCTGCCAGCATGCTACCAAAATTATGTTTCAAAAACATCAGAGAAAAGAAAACCACCGGGTTGACCATACCTAGGCCACCCATCCGCCTGGGAAGGTAGGTTACAGACCTCTTAATGAGGTTCAGTTTGTGCCCCCATAACAGCTGGAAGAAACAACTGTAGATCCTCGCATAGAGAGACACTGGCAAAACACAGACAAAGCTGACATACAGAAATACCGGGATCAGGTAAGTTTTAATCAGGTCAATCCTTTCCCTGTAAGAGAGTTTCCAATCCTTCCAGCTGGCCACCTTGGCATCGGCATCTTGTAGCCGGCTTACCCAATTTGCAAGGCCGTAATCACCGGGACCAAATCTGATGCCTAAAACTTTAATTTCCTGCTGGGGCTCTGGGAAGGCGTCCGGAAGGGTAAAGCCTTCGCCTTCCTCTCCCATCCAGAAAACCTCACTCTTATCCTGATTGATCTTTGAGCCAGATGCCTCAGCATACTGTCCTCCATCACCGAGACCACCTCCTCCTGCCTCAGCATACTGCTCCATCACCGAGACCACCTCCTCCGCCTCCTGCCTCAGCATACTGTTCCATCACCGAGACCGCCTCCTCCGCCTCCTGCCTCAGCATACCGTTCCATCACCGAGACCACCT